GACTTAGACAAGTTTTGACAATTTTAGGACAATCTTTTTTAATAATCTTGGATAAAGAAACGCCTCCAAAATAGAACAATTTTCATAACTCAGGGACATTACATTTCTACATCTCATTATTCTTGGATGATGAAAATATTTCCAAATGGAAAGATCTGGAACATAGAACATTTTGCATGCGCCTGTTTGTGTGTGTATTCAATCCAATCCCCACTGGCCGGCAGTGGTCGAGACCGAGACGGCTAATACATAGGTGCCACAGTCGGAAGAAGTGTTAGTTTGTTTACTTAAATGAACCATGCCCATTTTGTTATGGCATTTTTGCTATAAGAAATGCGCCTCATGTTTATTAGCAAATTTCACATCAAAGATTGATTAATTGAGTTGGAAATCAGTTTGACACGGCATTTGTGACCAGCATACACTTTCCGGTAATATGAAACAGGTCAAAAACTGTTCAAATCCGCAGATAAAAAATTTTGTTTTGAATTTCTGTATGGCAAAATAGTGAACTTTTCGTGAACATTAACGGCAAAGAACTCACCAACACTGGGAGACTGTGAGTTCTCGCCCACCTGTCATAAAACCGTCTTGGGCAGTGGTATTATGGCAGAAATCTGCTTGGAATCAGTGATGCCACATGTACAGATTTATCTGTAATCATACAGATTTTTTTTTCAATATTTTGATACAGATATCTGTATATACAGATTACAGATTTTTGAAAAATATACAGATTTTTCAGATTTTTCAAATAAAGGGAATATATTTTGTATTGTTTTTTTTTTTTTAATAGATATTAACTAATTTTGTTCAATAATCGTTTCTTCCTTTTGAGCAGCTTGAATTCAATCTGAGCATCAAACCCAAATCGTTTTTTCACTAAATAAATTATTATTGTTTTAGCTGGACTGATGTTCTGATTTCTCGTTGGAAGGAATATTAGTTTCTCTTTCTATTTGTTTAATTAACCATGTCACATGGTGACAGATACGAAGGGTTATTAAATATATTTGTGTCAACTCGGTAAACAAGTCATTTTAGAAAACCCACAAAGTGATTGATTACAGTTTGTGAGTCGAAGAATCAACTGGATATTTTTACATTTAAAAAGCGTAATTACAGAGATACATAATATTGCATGCAATTTGACTAAAGTTTCTGTAAAAGTTCTGTGTTATGTCCAATGTCCAGATAAAGGTTTGCGTAATCTGAGACATAAATAAATCAAACTCTAGGGAATTGTGATAGTTACTTCAATAAGGAAATTTTCAGTCGGAAACAGATTTGTCTCATGTAACTGGTACTTAATGTTTTGTTTTTTCAGACAGTAGAAGAGATACAAAACACTACAAAAAATCAACATTGTCGGATTTCAAGATTTTTAAAATAGACAAATTCTTTAGAAAGCCAACTTTAGTAATTTTTCATGATTCTAAACATTGAACATACTCCTTCTGAACTATGAATTTGATCAATGGAGATTTACGTAAATCCACACTGAGATCATAATATAGAAATTATACAGATTTTTCTACAAATTTTTGTCTGTCAGATACAGATTTTAAAAAGATTTTTTGCGATGAAAATACAGATTGAACTTCAAAAAAATGTGGCATCACTGCTTGGAATAATCCTTGAAGTGACAATTGAATACAGTGTTCATTCGGCTGTCGACAGAAGCAGACCACTCTCGATGTGTGTCACGCGATCGTCGTTTTCTCGGCAGCAACCAATTGTGTGGTCCTCCTCATTGTTCTTCATCAGCAGTTCTTTCGGTCGATGCGTCGTCGACTTTGGTAAGCAACCGTTTAGGGATGAGTGTGTGAGTGCTGACCACGTTTTGCGTCCATTGCTGCAATGGAAGCGCTCTGACCCTCGTTGGCGTAACTGTCATACAATGAAACCACTGAAAGCGGCTTCAGTTATGATGGAGGAGGAGGCTTTTTAGATAGCGGAAGATAAAGTGTTTCTTGTGTTGTACCTTTTGACTATAGTTTTTAGTTTATAGTTTTATAGTTTTGTAGAAGAATCCTCGGCTCTGTAAAATTAATTCGTTTGAACCTTATCAAATAAATTAATAAACAACAACACCAATTGAATGCACCTTTAGTCCGTGATGTAGATTGTGATAGCTCTACTGCAGATCCAGCCATCCACTTCAGAATGCCACTTTCACATAAAATAAACACTATCGTTATCATATGGATAATGGTACTGCAAACACACTTCCAGATTTCAAAATGTGAATATTCCAAATCAGGCAAATATTTAATAGCAATTGGAAATATACATTGTAAATTGATTTACCATCAGATAGATCTCACAAAATTCCACCCAGGCTTGTTCACTCGCGGTATTCTAAAAAAATATCCATTCAGCCGAGCATGGCATTTGCAGCCACACGAAATTCTTGAGTAAGTCTCCGGGAGTCCATTAGTTAAGAAGTATTTAGTTTTTCACACTACATTTTCACTTAACACCCCGTAAAGACTATGGCTTATATCATGTAATATAGGCTGTCTTGCAATGAGCACTCAAAGATAGAATTTCCAGTGATAACTAGATGTATAAGTGCTCATTGCAAGACAGCCTATATTACATGATATAAGCCATAGTCTGTACGGGGTATAACACGCAGTAAAATTCGCGAAAAGTAAAGCAACAACAAAAACCAAACAAGTCAATTTCAATGCATAGCCTACCTCGACCTCTCATAGAAAATATTGTATGCGCCTGGGACTAAAATGACAACCTTGCAAATAATTTAAGATTACGGGATACATTTTAGAGATTTAAACCATTGTTTAACGCTGGGACTCTAAGTTCAAGATCTCTAGATAAACAAATTAGGAAAATATTGCTCAGATTTATGGCTAAATATTAGTATAGATTTTAGGCTTGCACGCATACAACAGTTAACTCATGCATTGATGTTGGCATCGAAAACTCTCAATTAATAACTGTGAAAGTGCATCTAGAAAACTAATTTGAGAGCACGCAATAAGCTTATATGCGATAAGCAACCCAAACAAAAATTTTAGCTGCAGGCTAGCTTATACAGCCGAAAATGGCCTTTTGCAGTTAATTTTTATCTGTATAAGCTGATCTGCAGCTAAAATTGTTTGTTGGGAATAAGCTTCAAATTTGTAGAAGAAGAACAGCTACGTTCATGAATGGAAAGTGTTTTTTCAACAAATGAAAATAAAGGCTCAAGGTTTATTTCTTCTTTATAATATAATAAAAAAGCATTCTTGCTCGTGAGATTGCATCTAAAAAATAAATTAATTACTCAAATAAGGGTATTATTCAACCAACAGTTGTCATCCATATCTGAAATTTTATGTATGTACCTGCTTATCTATCTGATTTCATCGTACTTCAGCACAACATTTTGGCTGTATCCCATAGGAACGTATTTTTCACTTTTAGGACCACAATTAAATTATTTCTTCTTCTTCTTCTTCGCATTTCAAGCTTATTGCATATCGCATATTAGCTTATTGCGTGCTCTCAACTTAGTGTTCTAGATGCCTTCCACAGTTATTAATTGAGAGCTTTCGATGCCTGTACCATTTTTGCATTAATATAATTGTGTGGCAAGTACAATCATACTCTAGGCCCAGGGAAGTCGAGAAATTTTCCAACCCGAAAAATTCCTAGACCGGACCGGGAATTGAACCCAGCCACCTCCAGCATGGTCTTGCTTTGTAGCTGCGCCTTTACCGACTGAGCTAAGGGAGGCCCCAATTAAATTATGGACAGAAGTAAATACACGAGCTACTTATGATTTTATAAGATGATAGCCCAGAACATGTGAAAAATACCATAAAAATATTATTGTGCCATCGACGTAAAGGAATAAAAAATATTAAATAGCTTTGATTTTCCACCAAAAAAAACTCAAAACTACCATTCACTCATCTGGTCATATCTCAAAAACTATTTGTCCAAATCATTTGTCCTTGGAAACACATCAAGTAGAACAGTTTTCCAAAGTGTGGTGAAAATTTGACCCCAAAACATTAAAAAATAAAAAATCCCGCTCATGGTGAAAATAGGCCATTTTTGACAATTTTGATACCTACCGCTAATCAGTCTGTTTACTGTAGTTACTATAACAAAAAAAAAATGTGAGTACACCTATAAGAATCTGCATTAAAAAAAAACCTTAAAATTGATGTTCTAAGACCGCAAATAGCTTATTTGGGTGTAGAGTAATCTCTTTTAAAGTTGAAATTTTTTTAAATCTTGAAAATCTAGGGTTGTAGCCGGTGTTTGTCCAGAATGCCAAAATAAGCGTTTTGGCCAAGTTTGGCTCAAATCGGTGACATCTACCACAGGTGGTGTGCCCCCTTGAGCTGGAATGATCCATATAATGGACTTGCACTGGAAACGCACTAAAGATTCAGCGACATGCATAGGGGGACCAGAATTTTTTAAGAAACCTCAGAAAATGTGTGATTATTATATGATCACAGGTAAGAGAGAAAATGGGCAATTTTCTATTCTGGACAAATTTTGTAGATAACACACTTGAATGTTTAATGCACGGAGTTGAAAAACAAAATCGATTTTTTTTTCATTCCGTCAACACCAACTGGACAGTTCTGGTCTGTTCGCAAGTCTTTTCGTCAGACTTTACACGCTGATTTTTAATTACTCTTTGTCGCACAAATTTGCCAGCAAATTTAGCTGTCATTTTATGTTACTTTTTAAAGGAAAATCCTCAACTCTGAACATTGGTCGTAAAAATGTGACTTTAGTGACTTATTTAAAAAAAAAACAGTGATTAGAAAATTTATTGTAACTCATAAATGCCTGAATATAGCAACTTACAGTCTTGTGCAAAAAGGAAGGCTATAGCTGGTTTTAAAAAATTTCGTTGCACTACTTTTTAATGTGATGTTAAACAAAAAAGTTCGAATTAAAAAACTGATTTTTGTAGGGCACCCTAATAAAAAGCAAAAGAATAGTTCTAGCAAGGTCAAATGAAGAGCTAAACACATGATATCTTCAGCAAAGTTGCTTGAAATGTGATTTATTTATAATATATTTATTCCAAAAACAATAAGGTATTAGTCCAATTTACCCAAGTCAAACAATCATGATCCCCATACGACGCTTTCGATCCAGTCAAGATAGCTGGCTACCTTGGTATAAACAGCCGGTTCCTTTTTCCCACACACAGATCCAATCGATGTTATACCAATCACATGGTAGATGCATCCTTTGGGATTCAACAGCACTTGAATCGGTCCACCCGAATCGCCTTGACACGTATCTCGGTTATCTTCTCTACTTCCGACACACATCTGCTGGTCCGCCATTCCCTCCCTGAAACCTCTAGTCGCACGGAATTGCTTGTCACATTCACTCGAATTCTGAACATTAAGCTGCACTTTACGAAGCGTGTTGGATCCCTCCAGATCTGGAAACAATTATGTTTAACAGAGCAAAACGAGATACGCAGTCCTGAAACTTACTGAAAGGGTTCGTTTTTCCAAAACCCGTCGCAATGACAGATGAAACGTTCGTGTTCGTATCATCCCACAAGCAGGCAGGTTGAACAAGCATGGAGAAGATTACCTTTTGCTTCAGTCGAACCAACGCTATGTCATTGTAAGATCGACCAAAGCGATGCTTCGGGTGCTTCAGAATACCGTCAATCTGTACATCGAATTGATCGATACTGTCGTTCATCAAATTCAATTCAGCGAAACGCACAATTGTGGGTTGAGGATGCTTAACGGATAATTTCCCAGTACAGTGAGCAGCCGTTAGCACATATCGGTCACTGATCAACGTTCCACCACAGTCAAATAAGTATTCCTGGGGAGTATCGGTTTCCCACCCAAGAAGCACATGATGAGGGAATTCCCCTCTTTTGGCGTTTTCTCCACCAACTATCAGGTCCACGGATTTCGAGCAATTGTAGTATTTTATTTTCATCGGAACCGGATAAAGTGTCATGTAGATAACACTGGTAGTGATTGTTGTGTCATTGATGTACTCTTCGCATTCTGTTGGAGGACAGAAAAGCTTCAACGAACTGAAAAAAAGCGTTATACTGATGTACTTACTTATTTGAGAAATTCTTTTCCCTGAAAGTGGATTAGTGACAACGTTTGATTAGCTAATAGATAATGTTGAGATTCAAGATGAAAAAATAAACCTTCAGCATTGCACAAAACGATCAGCCACGCTAGAAAACTGAACTGTAAGAATTTGGTGAACATTGTTAACGCTGCTACACTGCCAACTGCTAAGAACAAACTGATAGGATGATTAAAAATTATTGCTATTGTATTATGACATAACTAGGGTTGTAGTACCGCTAGTACCGGTACCGATTTTACCGGTTGTTAACGCAAGATCCTCGGATGCCTAAAATAAATAAAAGAAGTGAATTGGAACAATAAGTTTCTAATTACAAATAGAAACCAATAATACTTACCTCCAACAAACCATACCTACCTTGAATTTTATAACACCACACACACGCAATAAAACTCATTCCCAATAAACGCAATATCACATCACGTTCTTCCACACAAGAAGTGTAAACGATAGTCGAAATACAGTTCATTTGATAACATACATTTATTTGTACAACATCACATTTAAGATAAGACATAATCAACAATAGTACGCCACAATACTCGGTTTGCGGCTGCCGCTCTCCATCCTCGGTCATGCCCAATGCTCGCTAGATCACGCTCTACCTGGTCCGCCCATAGTGCTCTCTGCGCTCCACGCCTTCTTGTGCCACCCGAATCAGTAGCGAACACCAACTTTTCAGGGTTGTTGTCCGGCATTCTTTTAACATCCCCTGCCCACCGCATCCTTCCGGCTTTGGCCACCTTCTGGATGCTGGGTTCGCCGTAGAGTGCAGCGATCACGTGGTTCATTCTTCGCCGCCACTCACCATTCTCCTGCACACCGCCGAAGATCGTCCTTAGCACACGTCGCTCGAAAACTCCGAGTGCTTGCAGGTCCTCCTCGAGCATAGTCCATGTCTCGTGTCCATACATAGAGGTCGACCGGTCTTATTAGCGTTCTGTACATGGTACATTTGGTGCGGGGGTGAATCTTGTTTGACCGTAATTTCTTCTGGAGCCCGTAGTAGGCACGACTTCCACTGATGATGCGCCTTTGTATTTCACGACTCACATTGTTGTCAGCCGTCAGTAAGGATCCAAGGTAAACGAATTCCTCCACTACCTCGAAAGTATCCCCGTCTATCGTGACATTACTTCCTAGACGAATCCTGTCATGTTCGGTTCCGCCTACTATCATGTACTTTGTTTTTGACGCGCTCACCACCAGTCCGACCTGTGCTGCTTCGTGTTTCAGGCGGGTGTATAGCTCTACCACCGTTCCAAATGTTCTTGCGATAATGTCCACGTCGTCCGCAAAGCACACAAATTGACCGGATTTCGTGAAAATCGTACCCCGGCTCGTCGCATTACACCTTCTAGAGCGATGTTGAAGAGTAGGCATGAGAGTCCGTCACCTTGTCACAGTCCGCGGCGAGATTCGAATGAACTGGATAGTTCATCCGAAACCCTTACCGTCGATCGTTGCTCAGCCTGATCAGCCTCCCAGGAAAGCCGTTCTTGTCCATGATATTCCATAGCTCTTTGCGGTAGATACTGTCGTATGCCGCCTTAAAGTCGATGAACAAATGATGCGTTGGGACCTGGTATTCACGGCATTTCTGGAGGATTTGCCGTACGGTGAAGATCTGGTCCGTTGTCGATCGGCCGTCGATGAAGCCGGCTTGATAACTTCCCACGAACTCGGTCATTTTAGGTGATAGACGACGGAAGATGATCTGGGATAGCACTTTGTAGGCGGCATTCAAAATGGTGATCGCTCTGAAGTTCTCACATTCCAAATGGTCGCCTTTCTTGTGAATGGGGCAGATTACCCCCTCCTTCCACTCCTCCGGTAGCTGTTCTGTTTCCCAGATCCTGACTATCATCCGGTGCAGGCAGGTGGCCAACTTTTCAGGGCCCATCTTGACGAGTTCGGCTGCGATACCATCCTTACCAGCTGCTTTGTTGTTTTTGAGATGCTGAATGGCATCCTTAACTTCCCTCAGCGTGGGAGTTGGGTCAGTTCCGTCCTCTGCTGCACTGACGTAGTCGTTTCCTCCATTGCGCTGGTCTCCCGTGCCTACGTTCTCCTCACCATTCAGGTGCGCCTCGAAGTGCTGCTTCCACCTTTCAATCACCTTACGTCCGTCCGTCAAGAGGCTCCCGTCCCGTCCTCAGTTGATAAACGACCAGCAAATCTCTGGAATCAGGAATCTGTTCCGGCCTCGTTGTTGTGTTGGTGCAGTGTCTTATCAGTGACCATATCCGCAGGCACTTTGCTTTGTCGATCTCGATCCGTCCAAGACGAGAATTGACCCACACTTAGAATATACAAATAGATATTAAGTGGGAGAATTGCCCAAGGCTCACTTAGAATATAAATTGCCATTGTAAATTGACTTCCAGAAAGCCAAAAATAGCCTACCGTGTGAAAGCGACCACGTTGCTAACTTTTCAAGACCAAAAGGCCTCAACTCCATTTTGTATACAAACCTTGTAAGGCAATTTTGTCGCGAACCGAAGTTCGCCAACGCAAACCTACAAAATGAACGGGTATGGGGAAATTCTTCTCTACCCGATTGTGTTTCAGGCTAGCTTATGTAGGTTTCAATTCGCGGGAAAATGGCCCTATAAGGTATGTTTACAAAATGGAGTTGACGCCTTTTCAATTGTTCGACTTGTTTTATTCATCGCATTGCACTGTGTGTATCGTTGCCAAAGTAGAAAATCTTTTGCTGCTAGTGCGGCGGGATTTGATTGTGCAACAGTGAATAAGACGCCGCAAGTTCGAAGACACCGGGGAAAACCTGCGAATTAACCATTTCAAGCATAACTATTCAAACCGACGTATCTGCTTTTGTAAACAATCACTTCAACCGACGATTTGTCTTAACTGCTAAGAGCACCGCCACCGAAGGCGTTATCTCTATCAATATAACCATAGAGGCAAGTCTAAGACCAGAAGGTCCCGAAGAAACGTGCTCAACTTTTTGACTCAGCTCTGGTACTCTCTTCGGTCCCAAGCAAATCGATGCACCCCTCGAAACATAGGAAAATCCACGAACCCCTCATTTTATCTGTCATACTTTCATAGCGAACCAAAACAAACATAGCGTAGTACTAGAATTTCGACTACAATGGGGTACGTTAATCGGTTTGCTTGGGACCAATAGGCTAGTCAAGTAGTGAGCCAATTTTAAATCGTTAGTTTCCACCGGTTGATATAGCCACGAAGAACATCGTCATATTGTTGTAATATTTCATTTTTATCGGTCGATCAATGTGGCAAAAACTACAAGAGACAGCCCTATGGAGTTGTACGCAATGGTGACGTAGGACTACGTGGTCTTATATAATAAATCTTATTTTTTAACTGCAACAGGAGCTTGTGTTTTGTGTAGGAATAGGAATTTGAGCGGGGTTCTTTCTGTTTATACTCTTTAGTATGACGCGCTTAGCATAGATGGCCCACAGCGGCTCACAAAGAGCTGCTGATTCCGATCAATAGCGGTGCGACTTATTCCTCCTTCAATGGATGCAGCTCGCTGCTTGCAGGCAGCCATTCGTAGTGTACCGGAGAACACCACCACTCACTAAGCGGTGATTGAATAAACATCGTTTGGTGAAACCGGATGGAATTCAACTTTGAAATCTGTGTTAGGGAAATCGCTTTTCGCAGGCAATCGGTGATTATTTTAATTATCAAAGCAACAGTTGCACATTCGTGCAATTTTCAAAAGGGACATTTTAAAAATGATAAAGTCTTAAAGTGAACAGATGCGTAGAAATATTTCTGATCGATTGGTGATAAAATTATTGAAATTGGTCCAGGGGCAGCTGAGTCATTAACGTTCAAAATCTTTCATAATTTTGTTACATGTTCCATTTTTGGTTTTCACAAAGTGCACCCCCATATAGAAATAACAGACGTAGTCCTACGTCAAAAACCCGAATATCAACAGGGGTTCTCGTGCATAAGCTGAGTGACTGTTTTAATATTATTTCTCCGAGAATCCCACGTATAGCGATTCACAGTTTCGGTGGCGATTTCGAATGTCCCGAAACTTGTTTACAAAGATTGTTGCAGAAATTAAAGCCGCGAATCCCTACTGCGTGCGAAAGCCTGATGTGGCTGGTAAACTAGGATTAACTGGCCTTCAAAAATGCACCGTCGCAATCCGTCAGCTTGCATATGGCATGCATGAATACATCAGGATGGCAGGATTTCATGGAATGCTAGGATCCTTGGACAGCAGCCGTTACGTATCTGCCTTCTGGTTTGTTCCTTTGATGGGGTCCTGGGACACATCCTACCACGCAAGACAAAGCGCCGTATCTTCTTCGGATGTCCAGCTTTCACCTCTTGAATTGGTATTCATCCTCACAAAACGCAATGAAATCGATTTTCTCTTTGCATTGCTACAGCTAAGCGAAACATTTTTCTAGAATTTGTTCAATGCAGAGTTGTAACGGGTTGTATTGGCACCGAGAAACGTTAATTCTAGTGAGTTATTAACAAAAGAGAAAATCGACGAAGAGAATCGATCATCGCGTTTACGCCCTTATGCGTGCTCACTGTTGAAATGTACTGAACCACAAAGCAGCAGTGTCACAAGCAAACCTAGATAGAGCTGGAATTAGGGCGTAACAGCTTTTGTAAACAATGACTTCAATCGATGATTTCTAGAAATTCAAGGCTCGCCCACGCAAACCAACCTCCTCATCGGGTAGGGAAAGACTTCCCCTATCCGATGGTTATGTTGGTCTGCGTGGGCGTGCCTTGGAGTTTCTAGAAATCATCGATAGAAGTCATTGTTTACAAAAGCTGTTACGCCCTAATTCCAGCTCTATCTAACAAAATAGCGACCCAGACCAGAGTTTTAGTGGGGCGCCAAATATGAAAACTTATGATTTATTTCTTGTTGCGTTCTCATTTTCCAACCCCGTTTAGCTACTACCGGTGCCGACATAAGTTGCTATATGGGGCTCGGAAATAGAGATAGGGACCCGTATGGAGACTCCAGTGGCGGTGCTCGAACTCACCCACGCAAACAAACATCATCAGGTAGGGCAATCTTTCCCCTACTAGCTGGTGTTGTTAGTTTCTATGAGTGAGCCAGCAGTCGATTGAAGTGATTGTTTACAGAATCAGATACGTCGATTTGAATAG